ATATATATAATATACTCAACTTGTGAAATATTTTTGTACAACAAATGTGTTCAAATATTGTCGATTATGTGAGAAAATTCCTTTTTTTTATTAACTTTTCCACTCGTGCATATTTAGCCACGGTGGTTCATTCCAGTTGATTGCAAGCATAATACACTATGTGAAACTTTACAATGGTTTATAAAGAATATTGAAAAGAAAAACATGTTTTTGCTGTCTGTTTTTTTTATTGTTTAATTGTTTGTTTGTATTTTTGTTTGTTTGTTCGTTTTTTCATTCATTGGTTCGGTTGTTTTTTTGTTTTTTGTTTTTTGTTCCTTATTTGTTTGTCCATTTATTTTGTGTCAACCTGTTTTCTTTTCTGTTGCTGTCAGTCCATTATTAGACTTCGAAAATTAAAGCGATAAGACAGAGGAGAACGAAAATTGAAATAGGACAGAGAAATAGATTCTCAAGACGTCGGTGGTTCTTTTGGTAATTGCTCTACAAGAGCTGTACAATGTAGCAGACACCCTCAGAGCTCACTGATGTCCCTCCTACAGGCCACTCGCCTTGCTTCAGAAAGACACCTGTGTCTCTTTTCCCTTCGACACCCACCGATACAAGCGGAAGAAAAAAGTAAAGTAAGCTCTACAAGAAATGGAAAGTGAAATTGCATCGGTTCAACGCACCTTGCAACACCTTAAGTTTACTTATGACTGTGACCTCCGATCTTCCATTGAACCAGAGAGTTTACAGTAATACTATATTACTGTAAACCCTCTCAGATTGAACCCAGCCAGATGGAAACATTTCTACACAGTGCCTCTCTCTCCCAAGAACGAAACTTTGAGCTGAAGCTGAGCCTCGGATCCAAAAATGGCAATCTCACGACGATTATGGATCCGGAAGCCTAACTGCCAGACTAACTACCAACGTCACTCACGATTTCACGATTAGGAGTCTGGTAGCCTTACAATACAACCACTAGACTACACAACAAAAAAATGGTCGCTTTTAAGCACAAGGGGGCTATCCCGAAAAATGCCTTTTAGAGAAAATCGAAGGTAAAGTTTCTGCCCCTTGTTTAGTTTCTTTAAAATACAAGGAGATTTTCTCTATAACCAAACAAATATACACACCAACTAAACCGAACTTCTCCTATAGGAGG